CCACTGGACGACCTCTAGTTAATCTTAAATGTCCTCCTTCATTTATCATACAGACTCTGGTTGGCAACATGTTTTATGTTTAAAAATAAAACGTAATAGGTATACTGTTTTTATCTATAAAAACCAAACAAATAACACTACTTTGACTTCAAGCTTTTCACTCATATTTTCATATTATTGCTTTAAAATACACCTACTTGCGATTCAAATTTTCTAAGATTTCGTTTTAGTGGTAATTCAAATAAAAACAGCTGGGTTTTTTTGTATATTTTTATTAGAAAATTAAACAAACAAATGTTAAGAATTTCATAACAAGAGCAGAAAGTGAGTCATTACATATTTTAGATTATGTTTGAACTGTGAGATTTATAGAGGACTTGAAATGGTCGAGAATATGAATACACCCACTTTCACGCTTAGTATATTTTGTACATAGGGCCGAAAATGAGGGTTTGCCAACTAGATATTAGGTTCTATACTTAACCTCGAACTTAAAACTCTCAAGAACTGAAAAACTATGTCGGCCCTTAGTACGAGAGCTATTCAATACAGTACTAAACCCTGTTACCACAATATTAATGCACACTAACAGTCAACACAACTACAACGGTTAGGCTTATGTGAAGAAATATTTTGAGGAATCAGCAAATATTATAATAAATATTACTACAATTTATTATTTATTATTACAATACCTTCCCTGTAGAACAAACTTAGGTACTCATTAAAATTAATGATATTTAAATAGGAAATAAATCTGACAATTTTCAGGGAATATTTTAGTACAAATCCAGCAGGTAAATGGAAATTCGCCTAGTCTGCAGGTGTCCTGCAGCAGGGATATTTTTACTTTTCCTTTAGTTAACCTTTTGATCCTACCATAGATTTCTATATTGCACCAAGAGAAGTGACAGTACGTTTTCTTATAATGTAGGATAGTGTTCAACACTATCTATTTTATTTCCATAAACCTTATTTTAATAATTCAATAAATAATTCAATTGAAAAAATGGAGATGTCCATTGGAAATAAATAAATAAACACTTTGAATTATGTTTCAATTGTTTACTTATTAGCGCAGTATATTTTGAAAATACAGCAATTCGATGTTGCAGACAAATGTGTATATAACTAAGTGACACAAGAACAATAGAGTTTGAACGGATCCTTATGTGTTCTAACTGGGGGTAGAGTATTTTTTTACTTTTGACATGGACATTGATAAAATTAATTTACATCAAGGATAAGCACTTGATCAACGAATAGTGTGTATTGGACATGGCGGTGAAGAATCACCATAGCTTCTCTGCGTTCCCTCCCCTTAGCGAGGCACTAGCAGAACAACAAACTATTGTATTAAATTTAGTTTTTAGCAAAGTTCCCATATAGGGAAATAGGCTATTACCGTAAGTCTCATCGTAAGACCTGGACCAGGCACCGATTTCCTTTTTTAATGTTTACAATGATTTTAATAAGAAAAAATGTTCTCTCGTAGTCTCTTAGTGCTTATTCGCTGTAATGTTAGTAGGCCTATTTAGTACTTGTTATGCTTGTTATAAGGACTCGTTGAAAAACTCTGTTGGATGTTAAAATGGTATACGGCTTATGGTTTTGTGTAGAGAGAACCTATTTGTTTATAGTTTGTGTATATTGAAGAGAGAAGAGGGAACTATTCAGATATTTTAAATTTTTGACGAAGGCTAGTGACGGCTACAAAATGAATCTAATGACACTGATTTTCAACCGAAATATAATATCAAATTTTCTCAATTTCTTTCTAAACCATTTTGTAAACATAAAAATAAACAATTTGGAATTTTAACGTGCTCATATATTTATATCTGTCATGGAAGAAATTCAAAACAGGTTTCAATCAATTGTTCACTGTTATTGTTATGGAGAATAAATAAACCTCTGTATTTAGCTTTTTATGATGGATAGGTTTATTTTAATGCAATTTAGCAGTTTTGTTTATTTCATACTAAGCTATCGACATTTCAATAAAAATCCCTTATTACGTTCCCTGTAGCAGCATACCTAAGTCATTAAAGTTATTGTTATTTTAATTGGAAATGAAGATGACAATGTCAAGGGAATATTTTAGCCTAAATCTAATCAGGTAAATGGAAATTCGCTTAGTCTGCAGGCTTGCTGCGGCAGGGTATTAAGTCCTGAAGTGTTTTTTTTAAGTTCTTAGCTCAGAACGATTCTTGTTCTCATGTGAAATCCTGAACCACTTATTGTAAAATCTTATACTGCAGAGGTTAATTAATTGGTGAATTAATACTTATTTACTGCAAAAGAAAAATATTTGGTATTTCACAATGTACTGGACATGGTTATTAAAGATTTTAAGTATATTTCTAGTTCCGTATAAAAATTGGCACATCGATAAATTGCACAAACGATTCATAATTCAAAACTGTATAGTTTGAGATGATTAATTTGAATAATCCCTCCAAAACTAGATGATTGAACAGAGCTAATCGGAGTTACTCTGAACAGTGAACTGTGTTAGTGATGATTTGAAATTCATCATTATTTCGTGGCAGTTAAGATAATTACAAGAGCGTTTAAGTGTTACACTTTAAACCTTGTGTTTTAAAACTTAAATTTAGAACATTTAAAATTTTAATGCATTAACAGTAAACGTTAGCCACCTTAATACGCACTATAACTTAAAATGAAATGCAATTTTAAAAATTCAAAAAATATTAATGATATTTAGAAAACACATTCAATAACAAGAAATATTTAAACATTCAATAGTGTTTTTAATTAGTTTTTTTTTTTTAAATTGGTTGGTATTATCTTCTTGACAAAATCATTGTTTTATTAACAACTAGCTGTAACCCGCGGGCTTTGCCCCGTTTAACTTCTTAATTTTCAAGATTATCTCGTTCGCATGGCTCAATCACGTCCTGGTTGAAGTTCGTTCGCTACGCTCACTCACCTTTAGGTTGGAGCTCGTTCGCTACGCTCACTCACCTTTAGGTTGGAGCTCGTTCGCTGCGCTCACTTGCCTTCAGGTTAGCTCATTCGCTACGCTAACTCGCCTCCAGGTTGAAGTTCGTTCGCTACGCTCACTCACCTTTTGGTTGCAAATTAGCTGTTGTCATAATTGTAAAAGAAATAATAGTGCTGCATCCTGTTGGTAATCCTTGTAACTTTAATGCTATTGAACATCATAGAACAGAACCAACTTGTTTAATTGAAACAGCTGTTAAGATTCAATAATTCCATATCTCATAAGGTCAACATGGGAAACTCCAGAGCCACTGGGGCGGAGCCCGAAAGGATTTTTGAAATGAGAATATGCCTATATGTTAATCGGGAATGTGAGCTATCATCATGCCAAATTTCAGCCCAATCCGACCAGTATTTTTTGCGTTCACTTGTCACAAACATACATCCATACATCCATACATCCATACATCCAAACTTTCTCATTTATAATATTAGTAGGATTTTATTTATCTAATGCAACATGATTTAAGCATTTATCAACAAATTATTTAAGCCATGTCTTGAGGTTAGTAAATAGTCTTTTAATTGCAATTTTATTTCCAAACTCTTAACATTTACTATTGTTCAGGACTCTTTGATCAACTCAATGCAATTTAATTAATTAAAAACATTGATATCCTTATTTCAGTGCAGTAAGTAAACGTATTTAAAAGTGAAAATAATTGGAGGCGTTATTTTCTTATTATCGGCCGGACATATTGACAACCTACTAAAAAAGAGACTACGGTAAGTCTAATACAACCAGTTTGTCAACATCGCTTTAATTAATTAATTCAAACACTTAACGCACCATTGTTGTGTTAATTGTAGTAGCTCATTAACATTGCAACTAATAGCCAATAATTAGAAGTTTGTGTGTTTGTTTAATGGAATTACACAATGATCAGGCCATGTGCATCACATGAGATTGACTCAACAAAATATTTAAAAGTTGTATACCCTACATACCGGAACTGATATGTCTGTAGTGTCTTAGTGCACACTCAATGGACACTCAATTTATGATCAATTGATTTATAGTTGGTGAATATTTATAACACTGACTTTTCAAAGTGTTCATGTGTTATGCTCAAATAAAGAAAATTGTTATTCCAAAAAATTGGATAACTAGGGATCGATTTGGACACCTTGCCCTTCCACTTATGTCCCTACAATGAATTAAGTTTTCAAAGAATAAAGATGTTACCATATATTTTTGGCTATTTTAAGGAATCCTTACTTCATAAATGTTAGGATTACTATGGCACTGAGTAGGTAACGCGAGGCACCAGTCACCTCGAAACTGCAGGTTATCAATAGCTGGTAGCTTGACAGTTGACAGTATAAGCATCGACTTTGAATCGCGGAAGTAGATTTCTCATCATGACATAAAATCTAACACAAAATCTATTTTAACGTGTTTTTCCCGATTTTATTGCACCGACGTTCATTGCTTCATTGCTATTTTCTAATTTCAGGGCATAAATTGCAATATTTCCTTTACATTTTGGTTTTAATACCAAAGAACAAAAGTACTTACCTCAAAACTTTCTATAGCAGATCCACAAGAACCATATATTTCTTAGCGATTATGTTTAATGTATGGGTTAAGACTAGGGCCTTGCACTTAAAAAAATAATTTTCTTAACTTAAATGAAACAAAATCTTACATAAGACATATCAAAAGACATATACGGTGATAGACAACTCCATTGACTTATCAAACTAGACAAGTACTATGATCACTTGCTACATTATGCCTCAGTCAATCGTCACTAGACTTTGGTCAGCCAGATGGACTTCAAATTATGAATCATGAAGGAAGTAATCATTTTTTAAGTATATTTTTGCTAATGACGGACTACATTTCATCCCCCTCTCAGTTTTAATTATTTTCCATCTTGAAACTTGCATAAAATGTCGCTTGAGGCCCGGCGCGCCATGTGCACAGTAGAGCACGTAGTTGACGCCAAGCACGCCCAGTCAGGATTAATGGTTGACGGATGCCAATGTCGAGTGTGCTTAAGTCAACAGGCAGACAGATCCACCATCTTGCCAAGCGACCACACGCCAAGGGGCAATGGTGAGTACTGCACATTGCACGATTTATTCTAGTTGAAATCCTTTACCCTTTGTTCTGAATCCCTAGTTTAAAATGGCGTAACGTGTAAAACAACAACACAAAGATTCACAACAATATTGGAAACACCTAAAAGCTAGTTAGTCATTATGATCTATCTTCAAAGTTGACGTAAAATCTCTATTTTATGTAAATACAGTCAAAACGCAGGGAAATGGTTTTGAAGCTGGTGATTGTGTTTAAGTGTAGGTAACCAACATTTTGTAATTGATTTAAGTAGGTGAACACAAGCAATTACTAAACTCTATGTTTGTAGCCCCAAAATTGCAATTCCTCACTTACGTCATAGAAATACCTTTGCCAATGTCAAATCTAATGTATTTTTACACAATTCAATTATTTACCCTGATATAGAACCTTCTTGCTTGTTAAGGGTCCTAAATCTGGCGGTTTATTGTTTTTCAATTGTCTGGAGGCTGCATACATTTTAAAATGTGGTTTGTGTAAATATATATATATTCTTTAAAACTGTTTAATTAAATTCAATCATTAATGTAGAATTGATCTTGTGTGTGTGTTTTTTTTTTTTTTTTTTTTTTAAGAAGAAACTATTGTAAGAATATATTACTTACGTTAATCAGCTCATTAAGTCGTGAGTTTCACCTCAGTACATGTTTCGACACATTGTCATCATCAGCTGAGTTAGTACTTGTGAAGGTTTAATTCACCAGATGGCTTCGTCATGTTGAATAAATTAACACGTAACATGTAACACGAATACGACACGACACATATACATTAACAATGAACATTAACACATAGGGGCTTAACAATGAATTTAAATAAGAAGAAACCTCATATTTCAGCTTTTAATTTTAACTTAAGATTGTTGAAATAGAATAACAATCACTCGTAAACAATAATTTACAAAACAGGTGAAAAATCAATTTATTAATATCAGTGTTGAATCCGGATAGTCCGACATCGGTCCTCTTTAATCCTGAAATCAATAAGCTGCCTTATCAAGAATTTGTGATTCTGCAAAACATAAGGGAAATTAAATTAAAAATTAATTTAAGGAATGCGTGAAATCGAACTACAGTAGTTATAATCAACTATAACCCTTTGTGTACTGGTTTATGTCTGTCAAAGTTCATGGTCTCATTACAAGCAACACGTTATACTAAGAAGTGCGCTTTCTATTCATTGCTGTAAGTGGATTCATCTATATTGTTATTGTTAGTACATTTCAAAAGCATAATATTGTTTCCTCTATAATTCTTGGTAAGAAGATCAATCAAGAAAAGTAACAAACAGGGCATTTACGTGGAAGGATTCAATTATATCTTCTGCAAAGTCAAAGTCATATTAAAAATATCAGAGTCCTACCCAAGAGATGTGAATATCTCTCTTCTGCGGTCGAGCAATGTCCAATCAATTCTTTGAAACACACTCTAAGAGATATTTGGAATATATCACCATTGCCTATTGGTTACTGAAGTCCAATACTGTTGTATTGATAGTCAAAGATATCACTGTATGGGATGTCTTTTAAAGATTTTACTTCATTCATTCAATATATTTCCGCAATAAACGTAATTAGGTCTAAAATGTGTTAAACGATATTTTACATAGTACATGACCATTACATTGAATAAAACTTGACGTTCTTTTGTTACAATTTTAAATATCAGACATTGACAGCTTAAAGGCATGAATGATACACCTTTGTCAACCTTAACTACACTCTTCAATGAAAACTACACTGTGGAACATCAAATTAAACAATAAAACATATACATACACGTTGGATTTGTCTTTAATTTATCTCTTTGTCTGTTTCAATGGTCAAGTGATAAAACTCTGAGATATCTTATACTCGAATACGAGCTATGTCTATTTGTAAATCTTTTCTCGAAATACAGCTGAAGGATTTGGGAAAAAACTTAGGATTAGGGACTAGTTAGTCTAAAAGATCAATTAAAGAATGACACTACTTCAGGAAAGCTCGTATTTCGCAACAAAAGTCTTAACAAAAATGTATATTACATTAGCCTTATGGCTTGCCAAATAGCATGTTAGTTTTAAAAAATAACAAGGAAAAATAAACAAAATGCTTGTACCTAACATATGTTTTATAACAGGCTGTTACACAGTACATTAGAAAATTAAAAAAATACAGTACAAAGGGGAAAAATTCAGTTCCAACTATTGAGCAAAGATTTCTCGGAATAATATTGGGGAAATAATTCTGATCAAAATGTGAGTATTTTACTTGGCTCTCTCCCACCAAAACTTGATCCCCCAAGTACCAGGTAAATTGTTATTAAACTTTCGTTTATCAGTGAAGTCAATATTTTAAATAGGCCTTGCTATTTGTGTACTAATATCACTAAGTAGTAAGTAGGCCTACGTAAATGAAACTCGAGAACTCTGTAGGTGGCTGCATGAAGCTTAGCTACATTTCGAGAGCGGCAACGACTGTTTGTGCTAGTAATACAAAGAATATTATTTTCCTATCACTATAATCTATCTATACAGTATACTATTATAAAGAAGAGGTGGTGTCTGTCCGTGTGTCTGTGTTTGTATGAGCTAAGCTCAAATATACTGAACCGACTGGGATAAAATTGGACAAAAATAAAGCTACAGCTCCAAGAATACATATATAACTATTCCTGTTTTTATATAGACCTAGGACTATGCCCCGTAGGCTTTCAAAGTTCTGAGGTGATAGTTTTGAAATTAAATATTAATTGGTTACCATGGTAACAAAGAACAAACCCACAAAGTTTAAACGTTAACAAACAGATCTATCAAATTTATTTTTATTTCACACTAGCAGTTACCCGGCGCGCGTTGCTGCGCTTAACAACTATTATTTTAAGTGGTAATTTGTTCTTTACGATGAATAATAAAAGTGTATACTAAAAATAAAAATAGAAAATTTTACTTAATTGCCAGTATATACATAACAATGTTTTTTTTTCATTAGGTGAATAAATATATATATGTGTATATTTATAAATATATATTAAACTTATAAATAAGTTTTTAGGCATATCTACCACCACGTGAGCACGCAACATACAGCTGTCCGTGTGAAAAGCATGAATTTTCTCAATTTATAAATTATCAAATGTGTCTGTTTATGGTATTGTTTCAACCATTAAAATCAATTAACCACCACCGAACAAGGTTTGGCCCCCTGTTCTTTTAATTACGATTACTTAACTAACCTATTTGAAAACAATTGTGTTCAAACCTGAAATAGTATATCCCAATAGTTTTGCCAATTACATTGCAGAGCACTGCCAATAGTCATTCCTTCCCTTAATCTTAATCCTGGCGCTTGCTCCAAAATGCAACGGATTGCTTTGCAACAAAAACCGATGACAAAGCCTAACAATTTATGTCGTCCAGACCTCAACCTCGAAATCAGCTCCAACAAACGTGGAAGCAATGATTGTAACAACAATCTATGTGTGTTTGACACAACCTATTTAGATAAAAATTAGCATTAGCTGAGAATGCTTAATACTTCAAGCGCGATTAATTTGTTTGATGGAAAAAATATGTAAAACATAAATATTTATAATTCCCAACAGACTTTTGTCTTCTTTACAAACAATTACAAAATATTCTATAAAATATGAAATAGTTTTTCCACTGCAGCAAACCTGCATACTATAATAAAAGCGGATTTCCAGATACGTGATGTTACCAAATGTTATAAAAATCTGAAGTTTTTAACTTGGATTATCATGCTATCGGACACATATACGGGTGTCCATAAAAAATGTTTTAGGACTTTGGCAAATGAATCCTCATACTAAAAGGAAGAAAAAAGTTTATGTGAAGGTATGTCCAAAAATGCACTGGGTAAATAAGCATTTTTGGACACATAAACTTTTTTCTTCCTTTTAGTATGAGGATTCATTTGCCAAAGTCCTGAAACGTTTTTTATGGACACCCTGTATAAATATGTACTGTATGTATACTGTACATGGTGAATCACATAAGCTGTTCACTATTGATTTTATACAAAGTTCATTGTTGAATATAATATTTCACAATGTCCGAAGAGATGACAACGGCCTTGCAAACATGACGTGTTTTATATGGAGAAACTATGTTTTAGTTTATAAATTGAAAACTAAAACAGTTGTTTACACGGTTTGAATTGCAAGCTGCTAATAATAGCGATACTATTAAAATGATATGTTGTTTGACATACAATGAATGCTATTTGAAATCTTTAAGTTTTAACTAGGTAAATTCTCAAATAATAAAACTTTAAATTTTTGTTTTTGTGATTTTATTGTGAATTTAAAATAACCTAAAAGCATGGCTCATATGGAATGCAAAATTTTAATCAGATTAGAGATTTACAAATTTTCTAGAAAAATATAGTCTCTTTAAAATAGTACAAATTTATTCTTAAACAACCGCCATTTTACACGAATAATATTAGTCAAAATAATTATTCCACCAAAACATTGTAAATGACGTACAAGAGGACATGTTTGTCCTAGACAATTATGAAATTTGAACTAGTAAACATCTGGTTATGGTATACATTTGAAATATTTTTACGTTATTCCTTGGGATTGGTTTAGTGGGTATAACTGTTATACAGTATTACCATTGTGGGACCAATGTTTTGTCTGACGTGTCCCTTACATGATTCACTCTGTATATATAAATTTGAAAGGATTAATGTTTTAGCCTCTAGGGATTAATTGTTGTGTCTATTAAACTACTCAGGTTTTGTACGGTTACCACACATGGCATATAACCAAAGTTTTACCCAACAGATAAAAATATTTAATTGCATTAACAATATTATTTTTTCAGGATGATTTGAACATACCAAAAGATCAAGTGGAGCGTAAGTAAATACGGTTTTGCATTTATTAAAAACATGTTAATGTTAACTAGGTGATAGAAATGTTAGTTGTTAAATTTAAAGGTAGTCCATCATGAAAGAATTTTTTTTTTTTAATTATTTTATGTTTGTTATTCTTCATTAATATTGTTTCCAGTGATATGCAACACTTGCATTTATTTACTTATATAATACCTAAATAAAATAAACTAGTTAACCTCCAGTGCTCTACCACGGAAATATCGTCAGCAATAAAAGATATAATAATACAAATAAATACTGTTTATCTTTGTATTTTATTTAGGGGCTGCTAAAGAATTTTTCCATGGTATTTTCCATGCTAAATATTAGTTTCTGCCATGAAGCTTTTTAAAAATCATGTAACAGAACTTTTTAAAATAAAAAGTCAATTTTCACGAGTTGTTTTTTTAAATATGTTTAAAATATTTTGGATTAAAATAAAAATAAAAGCTCATTTAGAGTTCTAGAGAAAAGTTAAATCTTGTAAAATGTTTTGAAATGTCTTTTAAAATGACATTTAAGTAATGTTGTTAAGTTAAAATTATTATGGATGTCGGACTACCCTTAAAAGCATTAGCATAAAGCTTGCATGATATGTTACATCCTCAATACTCTAAAGTAGAAAACTGAGTTTCATTCCTAATTAGCATTTATAAAATAACCAACACCTAAGGTAAAACTATTGTACAATAAACGCTTTAAGTGCATTAATATCAACTAGTTGCTCTGCCCGTGCTTCGCTACGGGGTGAGAATACAGAAAAGAAAAATTCGGTTTTACTGCAAGATACTATAATACTATGAGAAACAGTTACAACACACTTACCAGGAAACATATAGGCAAAAGCTCAATCCTGCTTATTGATTATTTAAATTAAGATCTCTTAATGTATTACAGTACTATCATTTTATATAGTGTATAGCATTTAAAATACATGCAAAAGTATAATTCGTTGACCACATGGCACCAAAAAACAATTCTCCTTGTAAACAAATAAAATTAAATTGCAGAACAGCATTTCTGACAACAGCTGCTGTAGTTTAATAACAATGTTTGTTTCCCGTGTTAATCTTATGGAGAAATACGAAACTTTAAAGGGCCGAACTCTCTAATTATTTCCCTAAAAAGAAAGTTTCCTGCACAACTTTACGTTACGCTCTTTCCAATGACACCAAAAACATGTCAATCGGTTCAGTAGTTTCGGAGGAGTAATTGTCACAAAAAACCTGCTTGCGTTTTAAATAAGTATAGATTAATTAAATATAACCTCTAAAGGAAACCGGAAAGAACAAACATTTCCAAATGTGTTCAGCAAATAATTATAATTAAAACAGCAGTTGTTTAATTCAGAGATAGCTTTATAGATAAGTTTTACATTTCGTTTGTCATTTATTATATATAAAATAAAACATTAATATCTGACATTTACACAGTTATCTAAAGTGTTTGAATACCAAGCCCAATAACTGCAAGAGAAAGACACAACCACTGAATAAACAATTTTGCATGGTATAATGGAAGATAACTCCAAACATTTATATTTTCCCAATTATTTCGTCTTAAATATTTGTCTTAGTTTTGAGGAACGCATTTGTCTGTTTTGACGCTGAGAAGAAGGGATGTATTAACACCGAGATGGTTGGCACTATCCTTGAGCTGCTAGGACACGTCCTGACGCCAACTCAACTACAAGAGATTGTCCAGGAGGTAGATGTTGATGGTGAGTTGGCATTCTTCAGGGTTCAACCATTCTATGTGAACCTAAGGCCAGCTGTTATAAATTCTCATTCAATTAGGGTAGATTCAGATGACCCTCTCACAGAGTGTCATACTGTTTGAATTCTACTTTAATGTAAATCTGGCCATCTTACTAATGTTATAAATGTGAAAATTTGTGTGTTTGTTTGTTTGTTTGAAGTTCAATCAAACATTAACGAATGGACGGATTGGGCTGAAATTTGGCATGATTATAGCTCACATTCCCGATTAACATTATAGGCATATTCTTTTCTCAAAAATCCTTTCGTGCTCCTCCCCAGTGGCTCTGCAGTTCCCCATGTTAACCTTATGAGTATTCATATTTAAAAGGAATTAAGGAATTTAGTCAGCTCTTTCAACTAAAAAAGTTGGTTCTATGATATGCAAAAGCATTAAAAAGTTATATGATTTACCAACAGGGTGCAGCACTATTATTTTTTTTGTATTTATAATAACAGCTTATTTGAACTATAAGCAGCAAAAAACTGTGATACGCAATGAAAACTGTTAAAGTAGGATTGTTTACAGTTATGTTAATGTTTTTAATTTCATAAATAACGAGCTGTTGGCCCGTCCTACGTAGGGTAATCAAGTAGTCAATTAAAACTGAATATGATTCAGAACAGCTAGTTTACAACTTGGTGGCCGATTCACACACACTGGCTTTGAGTACAGTAGCTACATACCACCTTCCACTGCATAGGCCTACTATCACTTACCGTACCTTCTTTACCCCCTTGGCCACTGAAACCTCTAAAATGATCCTGGCCTCCCGTTCTCTTCTACCCCCTGTCATATCTGGATGACAGGAAGATACCAGTCTGAAGATGTCTTTCATTACTTGGTCTTCCAAGTGGTCGTCTACCTTTTAGTACTCCTTGGAATACACTTTTAAAAGTTAAAGTATCTTCTCTCCGCCATGCAAAGCCTGCTCAGCCCATCCGAGGTCCGAGCCTTTTGGTCTACTTTTGGAATGTACCCCTTTATCAAGTTTCTGAATCATACAGTACTACTGGGATAGTTATGATATGGTATGAATCGATTTTGGTTTCTACTGACACCCTGCAGCTTACTGGTCAGTTTTCTGGAGACCTACTACACCGGTTGACATTTTCATTACGAATAAAATGTGTACTGTATGCAGTCATACTTATATTCAAACATCTATAAAAAGATGTATCAACACGTAAACCACTTATATCTTAAAGGATTAAGCACTTATACTTAGACGGATTACATTTATGACAAAACTTGATTATACGTTTAAAATGTTTAGTTCAAAATTACACAATCTCCTGATAACATAGATCTGTTACGGTAGAAAATAAACTGAATTTTAAAGTAAAATAGTGTCTGGCAAACTCTGACGATCAATATTTTTGTATACAAACAACTTGTAACATAAACATTTCAATGACAGTTAGAACCCAGCTGTTAGTTAAACCACTACTAAAACGACTTAAACTCGTCCCTCGGCTGACATTCACTTCAAGTCATATGCCTATATGTTAATCGGGAATGTGAGCTATCATCATGCCAAATTTCAGCCCAATCCGGCCAGTAGTTAAGGCGTGATTGAACTTCAAACAAACACACAAACTTTCACATTTATAATATTAGTAAGATATATATATATATTTATATGTATATATGTGTCCAATAGCACGATAAACCGAGCAAAAATCATCCGATTTTGATGAAATTTGGTACAAACGTGCGAACCAGCATGATCGGTCTATTGAAAGAGGGGTTTATGGGGGGTTTATGGGGGGTTTTATGGGGTAAAAATTGGGTTTTCCCATTTTTTACCATAAAAACATAAAATTTAGCAACTTCTTTCCAAACCGTTTTGTAGAGCTTATAAAAACAAATAATTTAGTATATTGAAACGTTATTTTGTGCCTAATGGCTACGGAAAAAAAAATTGTAAATTTTAAATTCCCATGTTATTCTTATGGAGAAAATTGTAAACTATTGTAGTTTGCTTGTTTATGAGCATATTTTGATCACAATTTGAAAATGCATTCATTCCATACCAAACTATTAAAATCGGACAAAAAACACTTTTTTACCACCCTCCCTGTTGCAGCAAACCTAAGTACTCGTTAAACTAATGCTATTTAAATAGGAAATAAATGTAATATTTTTAAGGAGACATTTTAGTGTAAATCCAATCAGGCAAATGGAAATTCACCTAGTCTGCAGGTTTGCTGCGGGGGAGGGTTTTTTTTAAATAACATTAAGTTTTAATGACTACTTAGGTTTGCTGCTACAGAGAAGATAACGAGGTGTGTTTTCCCCTATAGAGAAGTAGCTATTACCTACTTCATCGAGAGAAGTAAAGAAGTTGTTTACATCACCCCCTTGGTATAGGGAAGTTTAACATGGTGGGTAGGGTAAAAGCTATTTTCCTAACACAACAATTCAATATACATTACTTCAATATACTAAATTATTTCTTTCTTTAAGCTCAACAAAATTACCTGGAAATATTTAGTTAAATTCTATGTTTCTAGGGTCGAAAACGAAGAAAACCTCATTTTAGCGAATTTCTCATATAGGGAATAAGCTATTGCCGTAGGTCTCATGATAAGACCTGGACCCGGGACCGATTTACTTTTTCGTTTGAGGTCACCAGAGGTCAAAAATACCATCCGTTCAAATTCATATATATATCTCTATATATAAATGCGAAATTCCGATGAACGCACAGGCCAAACCTTAGCACCTAGAAGTATGAGATTTTGCATACATATTCTTCTCATAGCGTAGGCAGACAATAAGAAGCGATTTTACAAAATTCTCAATGGGCCACGCCCCATAGAAGGTCAAAGTTAGCATGGAGTTCGTATAGGAAGAAAATTTGTTTTGGGTTTTTGTTTACATACGTTTGCATATGCAATTTATTTAATCATCAGATGTTAGAGTAAAAATTATGTTTTTTAAGGTTAGCTCGTACCATCCAATAGGCAATGCTACCATATAAACATCATAGTTGGGTATCAGTGAAATTAACCTAATTTATTGTGGAATTTTAGTTTCATCCACTTCTCATAGCTGTGAATAGCGTTAAAGAAAGTAGGATTTAAATTAGTTTTTTATTGAATTTTAATTTTTAAAGATCTTATTAAATAGTACTGTTAATGTTTTTGTAGTTGTTTAAACCGTTTCATTGTATGGACAAAGGACACTGAGGTTTTAAATGTTAATAACGATTTCGTTGTACACATTATCATTCACATTAGAGGAGATGGTGCTAGTTTATTTACTTCACTCTCATTCATAATTCACCTTACAGACTAACTGTGAGCGAAGCAATTGTTGAACATGTTGTGAAGAACTGGGACCACTTCTCAATCTTATCCCACGGCAGTGACGGTAATAATTACCTTACTGTAATTCCAGGGAATTCTTCAATGAAAAGTCTAAGTCGTTTACCTTTAGTGGGTCGTGTGAACTGGTTGCAAATTTACAACTATTCATATTTGTTTTCGAGAATTATCGGAATGGTGGATTGTATATAAAGTTTGGTGATGAACGTAATCCCGAGATAAGTCTCGGATTCACACAATCCCCCCCCCTGTCTAGCGGGCACTTCGACGTTTTGTCAGCCGATCCCGGAATCTCACTAAAATACACCAAGGCGTTAATGGCATAGCAGTTGCCATCTTCAGCCTTGTCTCTGATGATAACTCAACATCACAGAGCATAGAATAAACTCAACATAGTCAGGGTGAAACCCTTGACAGTAATCAACAACAGTCATCACTAGGAATAGTAGTGCGTACGTCTGTCAGAGATTTCTGGCAGTTAGGCACTGCTTATTGAATCTTTGTGAGCTATAACTATGGAATATCATACTGTATTAGGAGCTTACGTAGTATAATAATAAGTCTTGTTTTAGGTTCGGGCGAGTTGGAGTTTGAGGAGTTTTGTATTTTAGCTTCCAAATTCCTTACACTTGAAGAGGAAGACAGTGATGATCTTATGGTCCAAGATCTTAAAGTAGTGTTTCGATTCTACGACAGAGAAGGTATCAAACATGCTTACATAGCCTATACTGTATATATATATATATATATTTTTTAGAAGAAAAATACAAACTGCTTTGAGTTTGTAATAATAATAATATGGTAATAATAATAAAATCTTGAAACATTGGTTGTTATTTAAAAAGTTGTTACTGTCAAAAACGTGCAACCTACTCCTCTTTATTAATGGATTTTATAAATATAAATTTACTTTAAATAGATAATAACAATTCCAATAAAGTTACAAAAAGATGTATTTAGGTTCTATAGCTTATATTACAACAATCTCATGGGGCTAAGACAGTTAAATTGTATTTTGGTCTAGGTTTTTATAGATGGGCTAGATAACAATTTTGAGAGCAATGATCCTAATCTTGGAGTTGGTTCGTGCCGGGTATGAAATTCTAATAGGCTAAGTAATAACTTAATTTATACTAATGTAGGCTAAATAATATGAAACAATAATGAGAGTCAAACATTTATGCTAGAAGTTCTTAGTTTGAAACAGTCACTTGAATTTAATCTATTCATTCACAATGGTGTGATGGTGGTTGGAAATTAATGATGATTTTAAAATGTTTATTGAGTTTGATACTGTCAATTTTTGTTGAATACTTATCTTCTTTCTTGATGTCTCTTTATGATCGATATTTTTATACGATCTGAATGTTAATTTTATAGACTTTTGAATATTTAATCACTGGAGACTTGGCTCCCACATCCATCTCTATCTATATCTTCCACCAAAAAGCACATTTTTCTTCCTTTGTTTTAGCTTTTCTTCCAACAATGCTACTTCACACCTGGACACTGGACAGTACATAAGAAATATTTCCTACCTAGACACCATTTCATTTTAGAATATTATTTTTGAATACAGTTTTTCTTCTTCACTAATTTATATTTAATTAAATTTAAATATTTTTTTGAAAATACAGTAATTAATAAATATTGCAAGTAATTTAGTTACAATTCACTTTTGAATACATTCATGTTTTATCTCAAACGTCCAAACAATTAGAAGTAAATATTTGGAATAAGATAAATACTAATATTTCAGCGTATAAGCACTAAGAGAGAAAATCTATGACTATTAAAATCATTATAAATGTACAAAACATTTGTTTAAAAGTTCTAAAGTAATATCAATAAAGATCCTTTTTTATTTTTGGAATACGGAATGCAGGATCTGCAGTGCTGTAGTAGGACTTGTAACAATATGCTTTGTAATTTGAGACCCGAGGCTTCGTCTCCTAAAGCATGTTCGTCTGTCTGTTTCCATATAAACTTTCAAACTTTCAATAGCCACATAGGCCCAACGTATGCGTTATTTATTGTTATTTCCAACGGTATTTTATTTTATTTAGTATGCTTACAAGGTAAAGACGTTTGACTACTTTTTGACAGGAGTACTTTATTGATGTCTGGAAAAAAGTCTGGGGATATTCCATTAAAGCCTAATTGTTTTCCAGTTTGCCACATTACTTGTTCTTGTTACCGCTTCTAAGTCATCATTAATGAAACGACTGAATATGAAGTTGAGCTTACTGCTTCTAGTTTGTAGCTAAGTCCATTGATTGCGTTGGGTTTGAAAAGCAACACGAGACATAACCAACACTCGATAGTTCCTCTGATTTTAGGTTTAGAAGCCCGTGATTTTCAAATAGTTAGACCTACCAGAGGTGATTTATTACAGAGTTCCAAGAATTTATACTGGTATAAAAAAAACTAGGTATACAATGCAGTTGTCTGCTTTGCAATATTGAGCTGAGCAAGCATATTAATTAAATGTTAATGATATATTTGGTTCGAATAAATAGAATGCCTATTTGCAGTATCCAAAGTAAATTATAAGTCTGGTTCACGTGAATGATTTGTCTACTTGCAGGAACCAAATTCTATGTTTCATTTGGTTCTCATAAATTAAATGTCTACTTGCAGTGTCCAATGCCAATTATATATTTCGTTCACATAAATAAAATGCCTATTTGCAGTATCCAAAGTCAATAGAAGGCTTACTTCTGGTTCACTTAAATGGAATGGCTATTTGCAGTATTCAAAGTCAATGATAATAAAGTTAAGTTAAGTTAAGTTTAAGTTGGGTTCACGTAAAGTATCCAAACTCAATGGCACATTTGGTTCATTTGATTAACATAAATGGAGTGCCTATTTACAATATCCATAGTCAATGGTACGTCTGGTTGACGTCAATGGAATGTCTACTCGCAGTATCAAAACTCAATGGTATATTTGGTTCACATTAATGGAACTCCTAGTAAAATCTGGTAAGTCTTGTTCACTTAAATTGGAAGTCTTTTTGCAGTATCCAAACGCAATGGTAGGCCTATATTTAGTTCAAATAAATGGAGTGGCTAATTGGAGTATTTAAAGTCAATGGTGCATCGGCCTTATTCCGGCGACCCTTATTGTTGGTTATTCATTTTGTAGTAGATTATGATCAATGATATTAATCCGATTGTTCTTCCCTTTTCCTCTGTACGGTTTGTAATGTGCTACTTGAGATGATTCGTTGACTAACATAGTAACCTTTATATTGTTATCTCGCAAATAATGTGATTGTAACCAATTAACCCACAAGGCCCATGTTAAATATCTCAAAGTTTAATTTCATGCAGGGAAAAGCTCTGGTCCGATTTGTTCCATTTCAGATTTATACCTTCCCATAGTTTGTTACTATGACTGTGCTAAATTTCGTGCAGATCGCTTCAGCCGTTCAGGAGGAGTATTAGTAAAACAAAAGCAGGAGTCTAGTATAAGAGCTTCGCTCGCTTCACTTCGCTCCGCTCAGTTACGGTTCCCTACATTTTTTACCTAAATCTTTTCTATAGTTCTCTTCTAAGAATGTAGTGTTGAATGTATAATATATATGTTGCATATCCATTAATTTTCTCAGCAAACTGTTATAGAAATCTTTACACTTGACTGAATGTGACCTTTTTATAACCCCTTTTACAGAGTTCCATAACTGTGGCAATTTACATGGACAAGAATTTTATATAGGTAACATACGTAACATGAGACAGTTCCTATAACCTAAAATCTATTTCAATTCTATAAATTAGTAATTTGTTACTAAGCCCTTAAGTCTTACCTGAAGTTGTGGAATCCGATCAAGCAAAGTTCAACAAGGCAGCGTAATTAGATCTGGGCATCTGTAGTTCTACTCCTCAAGTAGAGTGGATTCCTGAGATACTTAGAAGTTTGGAACTTGAAAGATTGATGATAATCTACTCCATACCTGGCATGATTGAGCACTTGGGCTGATGAGTATTGCGTCAGGAGGTTCTTGAACATATCTTGTTGATGAAAACTTAATAAAAACTAATAAATAATATAATGTTTTTTCTAGGTTTTACCATGGTGAATTCTGCAGTAGATTATTTTATTGATGGAGGATTAACACAACTCAACTAAAATTAAAAGTCGTTTCTTTTTTAAACAAATTGTTGTTTATCTATCAACTCAATTAGTTATCTCATACTCTATTAGCTAAGACAGGTTCAATAACTTGCGTCTCCTCTTAAATTTTGATAACCATTTAGATTAACCATTTGATATATTTGAAACCAGTTTGTGGCAACCTTCATAAAGGCTACAATAATAATAATTAAGTTTATAAAAGTTTGCCCTTGAGATATTTTTTGAATTTTTCAGAAACATTTCCAAAATTTACCATAATTATTGTAGCATTCATATTTAAGAAGGTTGCCGCAAACCGGTTTAAACGATCTCAAATGGTTAAAGGGGGGGGGCGGTGGGTGTAAGTAACTTATCAGCCATGCTGAAGTTTTGGTTTTAATATCAGCATAAGTTCAGAAAGCAAAATGTTGGATACCTGATATTATGCTCATGCAATTGAATTAATGTCACTGAATTAATTTGACTACATATTGACAGATAATAAAAATTTTGTAGATTATAGTTAACGTATCAAGTGCTAAATTCACGTCAATAAGAAGGTTAATTTATTGACTCTTCAATCTATTGAAATACAATTACAGTTTTATCAGTATGTTCTGTAGAAATGTCGTATGAAATAGAATATTAATACTAAGAAACGCTTGAAAATAAACACACATTTGTTTGGTTGAAAACGGGGTTCAATCATCCGACCATGCCCGTGAAATTCAATAATGAGAACATACGTGGCATTCAATTTTACAAAAATATTGCTACTATACTAAGGATCCGTTTAGAACTATTCACGCCCCGACACTGTCCGAGGGCATTGCCCCTTCGGCTTTAAAGTTCTGAGATTGGTCTCCATGGCTGCAATGAGAACACTCACAATGTTAACATTTTGCTATGACATGTCAATCTAAAAAGCAGAACTTTCAAATGCACTTTAAATAACAACTCCATACAGCTGGTTTAAAAATAGATAATCTATATATTAATTTGAAACTGTTTTTCTTTGTCATAGCTAAATTGAGAGAACGGCTGGGCGTAGAAACTCGGTAGAGGTGTCTAAAGAAAGGTCTTGGTCTGTAGATGAGCCATCAAAAGAGAAACGTGGTAAATTCCCTTGGGGCTCTGCCCCAGTGGCCTTTGAATTCCCATTACATGTTATTCTTATGGAGGAAAAACTGTGTTTTTGTCCCAGCTAATTTGAGAGAACGGCTGGGCGTAGAAACTTGGTAGGGGTGTCTAAAGAAAGGTATTGGTCTGTAGGTGAGCCCTCAAAAGAGAAACGAGGTAAATTTCCTTGGGACTCTGCCCCAGAGGCCTTTAAAGTTCACTCAGAAATTTTTTTTACATTACGACCATATGGATAATTTTACACTACTTTTAATGAACCAGCTGTTAATATTAAAATTGTATTCAAAGGTCTACTGAAACTGTCAAAATTAAATGTTTACATTATTATTTATGATTTTAAATTTATTCTCCACTGCATGGCAAGTTTGTTATAGTTTCAACAAAATGACAAATTTATGATACGTTTTAAATGTTTTGATCAAAAATATATGCTTTATTGCTC